AGTGGGCAAGTCTCACAACCACTGGCACAAGTGCCGAAAACGACCCCATTAGCTGCATCCATGTACCCCTTGTGCCTGGCCACAAGTTCCCAGTTGACTGTGGGTAGCAGCACAGCTGGAAAAACCGCTCCCAGGCAGGACTTGAACCAGGTACCTCTCGTATCTCAATCATGGTCTTTGACCAACCCACTGTGCCTGCCTGGTCACTAGTTTGGAGTAGTAGTTTGGAGGGGGTGAAAATAGTAACTCTGGCTCTGGGACAGGTGGTCGCCTTATCAGAGAGGTCACCTTGACAGGTTGTACTGTAACTCCGAGTTTCACTCACGAGGCAATCATCAGACAGCTGTCATGTTGTCCACAACTAGAAACTGTTGAGTTACAAATAATAAAATAATAATATAAATAAATTAATAATGTACATGTATGTCTGGTGATCGCCTCGTGAGTGAAATTCGGAGTTACAAAACCGTCTTCATCCTCTTGTTGTAAGTACATGTAGCTGGGACCTTTAGGTATCGAGCAGTATTGGACAGCCTGGAACCGTTCTGCTTTACAATACAAGTCATGTAGATGTACATGTAGATGTGCATTGCACAAACAGGTCTTCTCGATGTGTGCATGATTGTACAGTGTATATTGGCAGTGCTGGACAGCAATGGACGCTTTTTCTTTTCTTTTTTTAAAATTTCGGCCAGTCGGCTACTATCATTTTCGCCTTGGGGGTTAGACAAGGGGAAGTAGCCATGTACATGTACATGTAGGGGCGGGAGCTCGCCTTTCGGCACAGGGAGTTTGTAAGCCACTGGCCTTCCTGATCTTTTCCTTATCTCCTTGTAATTCTAACCTTGGCCCTTCCTCCAAGTCTAAGACGGAATAATCGTCATCAGAGTGCCGAAAGTGGGTAGTCGTTGAAGCAGGTCAACTCCCGGCTCAAGCATTCATTTTGCTCGCCGAGATAGCTGGTGATCTTCTGTCAGTTCGCGTTCGCGTGGTTAGACCAGTTCGCGTACACAGGGCAGCAATGCTAACCTTTTCGCTTCTGTCTCTTTTGCGCTCTACTGCATGTGATGCTGGATTGTCCATGTGAAGAAATCGTTTAGAAAAGAGAAAATTAATTTGATGACAGTGCACCGGTAGTCTGGGCTGCTTATACTATAGAGGTGTGTGTGGTGTGTGTGCATGTGTGTGTGTGTGTGTGTGTGTGTGTGTGTGTGTGTGTGTGTGTGTGTGTGTGTGTGTGTGTGTGTGTGTGTGTGTGTGTGTGTGTGTGTGTGTGTGTGTGTGTGCATGTATGTTGATACTCAGAGCTTCATGGCTATGGCCTAGCTCCTGGTATTGAGCACTTTTTGCAAGGGTTTATCGACATAGCCCGTAATAGCGCACCACCAGCAAAGCGACACCTCCTTTGGCACTGACTTCCTTCAAGTTCATACAGTTTCTTTCTTTCTTTTTTTGCTGAGCTGCTGGCCAAGCAGGACTTGAACCTGGTGCCCTCTGTTTCTCAATCATTTTTTTGCTGACCTAGTCGAGGTCGGCTGCATGGTAGCTTGCAATAGTTTGTGATATGCGGTTTGATGCGGAGAAAAAGCAGAAGTGGGAAGGCAATAGCAAACACATGTACTGCACCTACATGTACATGCACATGCACACAATATGCAGTGATGCAATGACAGCCATTGTTCCGCAGACTTGTAGTGCTGACGCGATCTTTATTAGGAAAATTGAAATAGAGATGTGAAATACAGTGTAAAGTAAAAAAAGTAAAAGTAAATTATCGTATCCGTTCCCGAAGGGAACTCACGACGGCCGCTAACACCCGATAAACCCTACAGTGTAGATGGAGCAAATACTACTACTCCTTGGAAGCAGACTGGTACGTGTACTGTTGTACTTGTAGTGCTTGTTCCGGCTTTGCACTACTGTCCGGAATATTGTATTATAGTACACATTGTAATGATCATCAGTGCCATGCCCTTTGGAACAGTATACTGGAACTGACCGTCGCATTCGCAGAATCTGGTGATACTCCGGACGGTATGCTGTCATCGCATCCACAGTCACGCAAACATTTCTCCATAACTTTAAACACAAGTCATGATTGTGCATTTAGTATAGAATCGGATCTTGCCTGTTCAACCATTACTAGTATCAGTTGTCTGATGGTTGCCTATGGACATGAAACTATATGACTGTACATCATCGCATTAGTTACAACGATGATAGCTGAATATACCAGTGCTTACTTTAGGACGTTTCCGGCCTGAGACCATCTGTTGGGTCGACGTTGTGCTTGCTTGTCTGCGAAATAATTAGTTTCCAGCGAGGTTCCGGTGTGCGCGTAAGCTGATTGCTGCACCCTGCAAGCAACACGATCGTTACGAGTTGTGGAGGCTCAGCCACTGGCACTGGTTGGGGTACTGGTTCATAGGGACTATTTTTAGGCTGCAGTGTGCAGTGCAGAGACGTACATTGTGGTACCACACATGAATGGCATGATGCCATCATACACATAATGTGACATAAATATCATAGGCTTTTTATTGTTTTAGCTTCCGACCACGGAGCTGCTGACACGCTGCTGCATGCTACGCAGCCGTCAGAATCATTATCACGTCACTCGTCAGTCTTCCTTCAGCGGAACTAATAGTAATACTCATGCACATGACATGTACATGTGCAATGTAGTTTCCCATGGAGGAACGGATGGATACCAGTGTCCCCGATTCATTATTCTCGTCATTGTGAATCTACCTGGGGTACCTCAAGGCTTCAACAATAAAATGCCAGCACAAACACATCAGCATGCTGCATAGTCATTGTGCTTGCACATGAAAATCCTGGCTAGTGATGGCGTTCATGTATACCATGTATACTGGCTGTAACGAAACCATTAGTATCCGAGCCCAATGACAACGTGCATTTACAAACATACCGGTACCGGTAAACGTCATGAACAACCTGGGGGACAGAAATGGTCGAAAATTCGGTTGGACATTTCCTTCCGTTTTATGCTTCCACAGTAGGGATCAGTCGGTGGACATTTCCTTCCGTTTTATGCTTCCACAGTAGGGATCAGTCGGTGGATATCCACTTCAACTCACAGCTGTCATTTCAAACATGGACTTCGCGGAGAATTTCACACCTGTGTCAGGGAAATAGTGAGACTGGTTTGTCTGCCTATTCATACTGGTCACAATTGTGTGTGTGTGGGGGGGGGGGGGGGACCCTCAGGACGAGTTCAGCTGCAAATAATGCTGTCCCAACATTGTACACACCCTCCTGCTGAAATAATTGGACGCATGCAGAGTATCCGAGATATTCAGGCAGAAGTTCATCGTTCTTGTCTGGATGTCTCGGAATGGGCACGCAAGTTCTGATCTGCTACTGCAAGCCCTCCTAGTTCCTTCGTCAGCTGGCCCAACTAGGTTGCACTCCACCATGGGTCTGCGCCAACCGCCAGTTTGCACCAGGTTCGGCAAGGGTTGCCTCGCGTTCCGGGGCGCCCAGCTGTAGAACACCTTACCCAGCAATATTGAACGTGCCATCTCCACGCTCCGCCAGCCTGATGACCCCGCACACCCTTAGTACCTAGAGTACCAAACGTCCTGTTTGATGATCAGCTGGCTTAGTTTCTCTCCACCTCTATCCTTATTACATCCCTCCCCAATTTCATTAATTACTGCTTTCTATCTGCATTCGCCAACTTTTCATTGGGCAGATCTGCCCGTTTAGTTTGCGAATTAATTTAAAATAACGTAAACACAGCAACTACAACATGGAGCAACCATTAGGCACAAACAAAGGCACTGCAGCTGCAGCATGTCCTGGACAGGAAAGCACCAGCTTATGCTTCTCGCTCCTTCCCGTTTTCTCTCGTCGATGGAGCCGAGCTTCCCAAGCGAAATTGTTACTAAGGGCTCCACTCAGCTTGAAGCGGCTCCACTAGGCATTTCCCAACATTTTTGATTGGCTGGCCGACAAATTCGCCGAAAACAGTGGTTTTGAAGAAATCACCGATCTTTTCGGACTAAATTCGCCGAAAATCGATGCTTGGAGCCTCTATAGATGTACAGAATGCATTTCCCCCGACACCAGTAATGTAAGCAACCGACCAACTATTGTACTTCCATTCCTTGTAACTTATTTATTCACTGGCCACACTGGAACCCGCCGCACCATTAATATGCCTTTATATTTTTATATTATACATATTCCCAATGCTGTAGACAGCAAGCTGTTTCGGCCATGAAGGCCTCATCAATACAGCTACAAGCTGCAAGCCGAGCTACTAGCCATGGTGCAAAGGAGGCACCACAGACATTTTAAAAGATAGCCGTCTTCGCTCTAACACCAGAGTGCTCTAACTACGAAAAGTAGCGTGCAATGCGTAATGCAGCAGCGCAGGAGCAGCCTACTGAGAGTTATACAAAAAGCCGTTTCGGAGAAAGAAGTTTCAACAAAGCTATGAATAGGACAAATGTCGCCGACATGATACCATGATGAACAAATGAAATCTCTATGGATAGCGAATGGCAAGCCTTGGCCTCCCTTACTCGCTGCTGTATCGCATTGGGACAAACAACATTGTGGAAACATTTGCGGAGAAGCGAAACATTATTAATTTATTATGCACAAGTAATACTATGAACGACATGGCGCTTACGCCGGTCCAACCAACCACTGAGCTATGGTGATTGGTGAAGCTAAGGACAAACATGTTACAAATTACTTGTATGAATACTGTAACTGTCCACCAACGTAACCAGATCATACAGTCAGCGAGTGTGACAAAATGGCGCAAAACTTGCGAGGAGTACTGAGGCATTCAACGTTCAGGGACCTAGCTCCAACACTGCCGTAAAGGAAAGAACAGCTCACTCTCTCTCTCTCTCTCTCTCTAGTGTGATGCACATCAAACACACTCATGCACAGTCAACCTTGTGAATTAAGACCCTCAATTGGGCACGAGAAAAGTGTCTATACCACATAGAAATCTGTGATCACTTTGTGCATACATTTTTCGAAATTGGGCGTCCGTTATCCAATCGCTTAGAAATTTATATGAGAAAAATTGCGTGAGCTGCCTGAGCAATATTCCGAAGAAATTTCTCAAAAAGCTCAAACCAAATTTGAATTATTCTAAAAAGTCTAGAGGTCTATACTAGAGGTCTATACTTTTGAAACGCACTATAGCTTCAAACAATACGAGGACAGAGAAAGTGTTTTTACTCCGAGTTTCACGCACTGAGCGATCATCAGAAAACAGTAATGAGAAATCTGGATCAGTATTGGTTCATATACTCACAAAGCAAAGTGTAAATAGCTGCAGCATGGCGCAAATCTAAAAGTTGTAAATGGCGGCAGTGCAAAGCATGAATGACTGCGTCCTGAGGCAAATCTAAAAGTAAAAGTGTGAATGACAGCTTCTGTACATATTCACGAGTTGTTTGTTGTTTACTCGACTGATGTCGTTATCCATGTACTCAACAAAGTATACATCGATAGCCATCACCCCCCCCCCCCCCTCACACCATTACCTGTCAAGCTGTGTTACATGCAAACTAGTGTCTCCATCTGTCAAGAATCATTTTCTTTTGCTGCCGCTGCTGCTGTTGCTTCCTTGCCACACACTGCTGGCCCAGCCACTGACACCATCACTAGATGTAGCGCCTGTACGCTTTGCATGGCTGCTGCTGTTGCTGTCGCTGCCGCTTCCTTGCCACACACTGCTGGCCCAGCCACCCACACCATCACTAGATGTAGCGCCTGCAGGCTTTGTATTGCTGCTACTGTTGCTGTCGCTTCCTTGCCACACACTGCTGGCCCAGCCACCCACACCATCCCTGGATGTAGGGCCAGTACGCTTTGCATTGCTGTTGCTGCTGCTGCTGTCGCTTCCTTGCCACACACTGCTGGCCCAGCCACTCACACCATCACTAGATGTACTGCCTGAACGCTTTGCATTGCTGCTGCTTTTGCTGCTGCTTTTGCTGCTGCTGCTGTCGCTGTCACTCCCTTGCCACACACTGCTGACCCAGCCACTCACATCATCGCTGGATGTAGAGCCTGTACGCTTTGCATTGCTGCTGCTGCTGTCGCTTCCTTGCCACGCACTGCTGACCCAGCCACTGACACCATCACTAGATGTAGAGCCTGTACGCTTTGCATTGCTGCTGCTGCTGTCGCTGTCACTCCCTTGCCACACACTGCTGACCCAGCCACTCACACCATCACTAGATGTAGAGCCTGTACGCTTTGCATTGCTGCTGCTGCTGTCGCTGCTGTTGCTGCTGCTGCTTTTGCTGCTGCTTTTGCTGCTGCTGCTGTCGCTGTCACTCCCTTGCCACACACTGCTGACCCAGCCACTCACATCATCGCTGGATGTAGAGCCTGTACGCTTTGCATTGCTGCTGCTGCTGTCGCTTCCTTGCCACGCACTGCTGACCCAGCCACTGACACCATCACTAGATGTAGAGCCTGTACGCTTTGCATTGCTGCTGCTGCTGTCGCTGTCACTCCCTTGCCACACACTGCTGACCCAGCCACTCACACCATCACTAGATGTAGAGCCTGTACGCTTTGCATTGCTGCTGCTGCTGTCGCTGCTGTTGCTGCTGCTGCTGTCGCTGCTGCTGCTGCTTCCTTGCCACACACTGCTGGCCCAGCCACCCACACCATAGCTAGATGTAGCGCATGTACGCTTTGCATTGCTGCTGTTGCTGCTGCTGCTGCTGTCGCTTCCTTGCCACACACTGCTGGCCCAGCCACCCACACCATCACTAGATGTAGCGCCTGCAGGCTTTACATTGTTACTGCTGCTGCTGCTGCTGTTGCTGTCGCTTCCTTGCCACACACTGCGGGCCCAGCCACCCACACCATCACTAGATGTAGAGCCTGCACGCTTTGCATTGCTGCTGCTGTCGCTGTTGCTGCTGTCGCTTCCTTGCCACACACTGCTGGCCCAGCCACCCACACCATCACTAGATGTAGCGCCTGCAGGCTTTGTATTGCTGCTGCTGTTGCTGTTGCTTCCTTGCCACACACTGCTGGCCCAGCCACTGACACCATCGCTGGATGTAGGGCCAGTACACGTTGCATTGCTGCTGTTGCTGCTGCTGTCGCTGCTGCCGTTGCTTCCTTGCCACACACTGCTGGCCCAGCCACTCAGTCCCCCGGCGGATGATGACTGTGACGGCCCGGACGTCTTGCTTCTCTCCCCTGTGTGGTCAGCCTCAGTGCTACTGCGGCTGCTGCTGTCGCTGTTGCTTCCTTGCCACGCACTGCTCGCCCAGCTGCTCAGCCCCCCAGCTGACGATTGTGAAGGCGTGGAGGTCTTACTCATCTTCGCTGTGCGCTCCGCATTGTTGCTGTTGCTGTTACTGTTGTCGCTGCCTTGCCACACACTGCTGGCCCAGTCGCTCAGCCCCCCTGCTGATGTTTGTGAAGGAGCAGTGGCCATCTTCCCTGCTGTCTTCTCAGCTTTGCTGTGGCCGTTGCTGCTACTGCTGCTGCTGCTGCTGCTGTCGCTGTCACTCCCTTGCCACACACTGCTGACCCAGCCACTCACACCATCACTAGATGTAGAGCCTGTACGCTTTGCATTGCTGCTGCTGCTGTCGCTGCTGTTGCTGCTGCTGCTTTTGCTGCTGCTTTTGCTGCTGCTGCTGTCGCTGTCACTCCCTTGCCACACACTGCTGACCCAGCCACTCACATCATCGCTGGATGTAGAGCCTGTACGCTTTGCATTGCTGCTGCTGCTGTCGCTTCCTTGCCACGCACTGCTGACCCAGCCACTGACACCATCACTAGATGTAGAGCCTGTACGCTTTGCATTGCTGCTGCTGCTGTCGCTGTCACTCCCTTGCCACACACTGCTGACCCAGCCACTCACACCATCACTAGATGTAGAGCCTGTACGCTTTGCATTGCTGCTGCTGCTGTCGCTGCTGTTGCTGCTGCTGCTGTCGCTGCTGCTGCTGCTTCCTTGCCACACACTGCTGGCCCAGCCACCCACACCATAGCTAGATGTAGCGCATGTACGCTTTGCATTGCTGCTGTTGCTGCTGCTGCTGCTGTCGCTTCCTTGCCACACACTGCTGGCCCAGCCACCCACACCATCACTAGATGTAGCGCCTGCAGGCTTTACATTGTTACTGCTGCTGCTGCTGCTGTTGCTGTCGCTTCCTTGCCACACACTGCGGGCCCAGCCACCCACACCATCACTAGATGTAGAGCCTGCACGCTTTGCATTGCTGCTGCTGTCGCTGTTGCTGCTGTCGCTTCCTTGCCACACACTGCTGGCCCAGCCACCCACACCATCACTAGATGTAGCGCCTGCAGGCTTTGTATTGCTGCTGCTGTTGCTGTTGCTTCCTTGCCACACACTGCTGGCCCAGCCACTGACACCATCGCTGGATGTAGGGCCAGTACACGTTGCATTGCTGCTGTTGCTGCTGCTGTCGCTGCTGCCGTTGCTTCCTTGCCACACACTGCTGGCCCAGCCACTCAGTCCCCCGGCGGATGATGACTGTGACGGCCCGGACGTCTTGCTTCTCTCCCCTGTGTGGTCAGCCTCAGTGCTACTGCGGCTGCTGCTGTCGCTGTTGCTTCCTTGCCACGCACTGCTCGCCCAGCTGCTCAGCCCCCCAGCTGACGATTGTGAAGGCGTGGAGGTCTTACTCATCTTCGCTGTGCGCTCCGCATTGTTGCTGTTGCTGTTACTGTTGTCGCTGCCTTGCCACACACTGCTGGCCCAGTCGCTCAGCCCCCCTGCTGATGTTTGTGAAGGAGCAGTGGCCATCTTCCCTGCTGTCTTCTCAGCTTTGCTGTGGCCGTTGCTGCTACTGCTGCTGCTGCTGCTGCTGTCGCTGTCACTCCCTTGCCACACACTGCTGACCCAGCCACTCACACCATCACTAGATGTAGAGCCTGTACGCTTTGCATTGCTGCTGCTGCTGTCGCTGCTGTTGCTGCTGCTGCTTTTGCTGCTGCTTTTGCTGCTGCTGCTGTCGCTGTCACTCCCTTGCCACACACTGCTGACCCAGCCACTCACATCATCGCTGGATGTAGAGCCTGTACGCTTTGCATTGCTGCTGCTGCTGTCGCTTCCTTGCCACGCACTGCTGACCCAGCCACTGACACCATCACTAGATGTAGAGCCTGTACGCTTTGCATTGCTGCTGCTGCTGTCGCTGTCACTCCCTTGCCACACACTGCTGACCCAGCCACTCACACCATCACTAGATGTAGAGCCTGTACGCTTTGCATTGCTGCTGCTGCTGTCGCTGCTGTTGCTGCTGCTGCTGTCGCTGCTGCTGCTGCTTCCTTGCCACACACTGCTGGCCCAGCCACCCACACCATAGCTAGATGTAGCGCATGTACGCTTTGCATTGCTGCTGTTGCTGCTGCTGCTGCTGTCGCTTCCTTGCCACACACTGCTGGCCCAGCCACCCACACCATCACTAGATGTAGCGCCTGCAGGCTTTACATTGTTACTGCTGCTGCTGCTGCTGTTGCTGTCGCTTCCTTGCCACACACTGCGGGCCCAGCCACCCACACCATCACTAGATGTAGAGCCTGCACGCTTTGCATTGCTGCTGCTGTCGCTGTTGCTGCTGTCGCTTCCTTGCCACACACTGCTGGCCCAGCCACCCACACCATCACTAGATGTAGCGCCTGCAGGCTTTGTATTGCTGCTGCTGTTGCTGTTGCTTCCTTGCCACACACTGCTGGCCCAGCCACTGACACCATCGCTGGATGTAGGGCCAGTACACGTTGCATTGCTGCTGTTGCTGCTGCTGTCGCTGCTGCCGTTGCTTCCTTGCCACACACTGCTGGCCCAGCCACTCAGTCCCCCGGCGGATGATGACTGTGACGGCCCGGACGTCTTGCTTCTCTCCCCTGTGTGGTCAGCCTCAGTGCTACTGCGGCTGCTGCTGTCGCTGTTGCTTCCTTGCCACGCACTGCTCGCCCAGCTGCTCAGCCCCCCAGCTGACGATTGTGAAGGCGTGGAGGTCTTACTCATCTTCGCTGTGCGCTCCGCATTGTTGCTGTTGCTGTTACTGTTGTCGCTGCCTTGCCACACACTGCTGGCCCAGTCGCTCAGCCCCCCTGCTGATGTTTGTGAAGGAGCAGTGGCCATCTTCCCTGCTGTCTTCTCAGCTTTGCTGTGGCCGTTGCTGCTACTGCTGCTGCTGCTGCTGCTGTCGCTGTCACTCCCTTGCCACACACTGCTGACCCAGCCACTCACACCATCACTAGATGTAGAGCCTGTACGCTTTGCATTGCTGCTGCTGCTGTCGCTGCTGTTGCTGCTGCTGCTTTTGCTGCTGCTTTTGCTGCTGCTGCTGTCGCTGTCACTCCCTTGCCACACACTGCTGACCCAGCCACTCACATCATCGCTGGATGTAGAGCCTGTACGCTTTGCATTGCTGCTGCTGCTGTCGCTTCCTTGCCACGCACTGCTGACCCAGCCACTGACACCATCACTAGATGTAGAGCCTGTACGCTTTGCATTGCTGCTGCTGCTGTCGCTGTCACTCCCTTGCCACACACTGCTGACCCAGCCACTCACACCATCACTAGATGTAGAGCCTGTACGCTTTGCATTGCTGCTGCTGCTGTCGCTGCTGTTGCTGCTGCTGCTGTCGCTGCTGCTGCTGCTTCCTTGCCACACACTGCTGGCCCAGCCACCCACACCATAGCTAGATGTAGCGCATGTACGCTTTGCATTGCTGCTGTTGCTGCTGCTGCTGCTGTCGCTTCCTTGCCACACACTGCTGGCCCAGCCACCCACACCATCACTAGATGTAGCGCCTGCAGGCTTTACATTGTTACTGCTGCTGCTGCTGCTGTTGCTGTCGCTTCCTTGCCACACACTGCGGGCCCAGCCACCCACACCATCACTAGATGTAGAGCCTGCACGCTTTGCATTGCTGCTGCTGTCGCTGTTGCTGCTGTCGCTTCCTTGCCACACACTGCTGGCCCAGCCACCCACACCATCACTAGATGTAGCGCCTGCAGGCTTTGTATTGCTGCTGCTGTTGCTGTTGCTTCCTTGCCACACACTGCTGGCCCAGCCACTGACACCATCGCTGGATGTAGGGCCAGTACACGTTGCATTGCTGCTGTTGCTGCTGCTGTCGCTGCTGCCGTTGCTTCCTTGCCACACACTGCTGGCCCAGCCACTCAGTCCCCCGGCGGATGATGACTGTGACGGCCCGGACGTCTTGCTTCTCTCCCCTGTGTGGTCAGCCTCAGTGCTACTGCGGCTGCTGCTGTCGCTGTTGCTTCCTTGCCACGCACTGCTCGCCCAGCTGCTCAGCCCCCCAGCTGACGATTGTGAAGGCGTGGAGGTCTTACTCATCTTCGCTGTGCGCTCCGCATTGTTGCTGTTGCTGTTACTGTTGTCGCTGCCTTGCCACACACTGCTGGCCCAGTCGCTCAGCCCCCCTGCTGATGTTTGTGAAGGAGCAGTGGCCATCTTCCCTGCTGTCTTCTCAGCTTTGCTGTGGCCGTTGCTGCTACTGCTGCTGCTGCTGCTGCTGCCTTGCCACAAGCTGTTAGCCCAGTCAAACAGTCCTCCGGGTGACGAAGTTGAAGACGCGGAGCCCCCGGTCATTCTCCCCGTCTGCTGATCATGGCTGCTGCTGCTGGTGGTGGTGGATCCATCACTACTGGTTGGCCACAGGTCACTGGCCAAGTCGTGCAGCCTCCCGGCCATGGACAATGAGGATGCGGTGACGTCGGTAGCAAGCCTGCCCAAGCGCCCGTCCTCATTCCAAACGGCATCGACGGCGTCACCGGTGAAGTCGGCCACGCTCCGACTGAGCGCACCCAGACTGGCCGCCGCATCGACGGCATGTGCGTACTGGTTAACATCCAGTGCAGTGGCGGCGGTAGCTGCACCCGCGTCGGCACCAGCAGCACTTGCTGCGCCCACGCCTAGTCCGCCGATCGTCACGGCAACCGTTTTCACCGCCACCCACGCTTTCCCGGCTGCGCCAATTGACTGGCATATGGAGATCAGGCTGCCAGCCGGCACCCCACCGCCGTTGCCAATAGCAACAGCAGACATCCATGCACTAGCGTAGGATTCTGCACACATAAACAATTGAAAAAAATGTCGCTGTTCGCTTGAGACTCGGTTAGACTGAGTTCTCAGCATCCGTAGGAACGCCATCACCCTGCAAAGATCAAAGGCACAGATGCAGCTCCTAAAACACATAAGCAACCACACGTATCACTTTGGAACTTGCACGGCGAGCCACAGAGCAAACACACCATTTCATACGAATGATGAGATTAAGCCATGCGTAAGTGGCTGAGTTGCAGTGTGTTGAGTAATGACATCATTAATCAACACACTGCAACTCAGCCACATGTTGATTTCCTGTATGATGGCATTCCCCGAACTGTCTTCGTCTAGTCGCGTGCATGTGTGATATGAGCATGCGTGATTTTATAGTCGAGAGTCCTTTTGTCCAATGTTGTCAGTCTGGTTGTTCGTCCCACGGGAGTCAGTTGTCTTTGTTTTCCCGCCGTGTGTTCTTTCAATAATGTACCGTAAGCAAACGAGCCTCGCCCTTTGTGCCCTGCGTCGCGGGGAACGGAATGGCTGTGATTCCGTTACCAGTGTGAGAACGGTTTAAAAAAAAGAAACTAGGATCGGTCGGGTTGGTCAGGCCATGGCCCGGACAACTTTTCGACCACCAAATCATACGTATGTACTGCTGAGGCGGACGAATGTCTCCCCGTCATATCGTACATCTACAGGGACTATAAGCCACACTGGACTATAAGCCACACTGGAGTATAAGCCGCACTGGAGTATAAGCCGCACTGGAGTATAAGCCGCACTGGAGTGTAAGCCACACTGGAGTATAAGCCACACTGGAGTATAAGCCACACTGGAGTATAAGCCACACTGGAGTATAAGCCACACTGGAGTATAATCCACACTGGAGTATAAGCCACACTGGAGTATAAGCCACACTGGAGTATAAGCCACACTGGAGTATAAGCCACACTGGAGTATAAGCCACACTGGAGTATAAGCCACACTGGAGTATAAGCCACACTGGAGTATAAGCCACACTGGAGTATAAGCCACACTGGAGTATAAGCCACACTGGAGTATAAGCCACATTGGAGTATAAGCCGCACTGGAGTATAAGCCACACTGGAGTATAAGCCACACTGGAGTATAAGCCACACTGGAGTATAAGCCACACTGGAGTATAAGCCACACTGGAGTATAAGCCACACTGGAGTATAAGCCACACTGGAGTATAAGCCACACTGGAGTATAAGCCACACTGGAGTATAAGCCACACTGGAGTATAAGCAGCACTGGAGTATAAGCCACACTGGAGTATAAGCCACACTGGAGTATAAGCCACACTGGAGTATAAGCCACACTGGAGTATAAGCCACACTGGAGTATAAGCCACACTGGAGTATAAGCCACACTGGAGTATAAGTCACACTGGAGTATAAGCCACACTGGAGTATAAGCCACACTGGAGTATAAGCCACACTGGAGTATAAGCCACACTGGAGTATAAGCAGCACTGGAGTATAAGCCACACTGGAGTATAAGCCACACTGGAGTATAAGCCACACTGGAGTATAAGCCACACTGGAGTATAAGCCACACTGGAGTATAAGCCACACTGGAGTATAAGCCACACTGGAGTATAAGCAGCACTGGAGTATAAGCCACACTGGAGTATAAGCCACACTGGAGTATAAGCCACACTGGAGTATAAGCCACACTGGAGTATAAGCCACACTGGAGTATAAGCAGCACTGGAGTATAAGCCACACTGGAGTATAAGCCACACTGGAGTATAAGCCACACTGGAGTATAAGCCACACTGGAGTATAAGCCACACTGGAGTATAAGCCACACTGGAGTATAAGCCACACTGGAGTATAAGCCACACTGGAGTATAAGCCACACTGGAGTATAAGCCACACTGGAGTATAAGCCACACTGGAGTATAAGCCACACTGGAGTATAAGCCACACTGGAGTATAAGCCACACTGGAGTATAAGCAGCACTGGAGTATAAGCCACACTGGAGTATAAGCCACACTGGAGTATAAGCCACACTGGAGTATAAGCCACACTGGAGTATAAGCCACACTGGAGTATAAGCCACACTGGAGTATAAGCCACACTGGAGTATAAGCCACACTGGAGTATAAGCCACACTGGAGTATAAGCCACACTGGAGTATAAGCCACACTGGAGTATAAGCCACACTGGAGTATAAGCCACACTGGAGTATAAGCCACACTGGAGTATAATCCACACTGGAGTATAAGCCACACTGGAGTATAAGCCACACTGGAGTATAAGCCACACTGGAGTATAAGCCACACTGGAGTATAAGCCACACTGGAGTATAAGCCACACTGGAGTATAAGCCACACTGGAGTATAAGCCACACTGGAGTATAAGTCACACTGGAGTATAAGCCACACTGGAGTATAAGCCACACTGGAGTATAAGCCACACTGGAGTATAAGCCACACTGGAGTATAAGCCACACTGGAGTATAAGCCACACTGGAGTATAAGCCACACTGGAGTATAAGCCACACTGGAGTATAAGCCACACTGGAGTATAAGCCACACTGGAGTATAAGCCACACTGGAGTATAAGCCACACTGGAGTATAAGCCACACTGGAGTATAAGCCGCACTGAAGTATAAGCCGCACTGGAGTATACTGTACAAGCAGAAATATTCGTCTGGAATTTAATTTCGTCTTTTTCGTCCAAGGAGCTTTTGGACTAAATTAAATGCCGGACGAATATTGATGTGTCCAGCTTTTCAATACACTCTTATGATCCATGGACGAAATTTACAACCGGACGAACTCCATTTCTTTGGAGTTGGACGAAATTATTGACCGACGAAATTTTCTGCTTATACAGTAAGCCACACTGGAGTATAAGCCACACTGGAGTACAAGCCACACTGGAGTATAAGGGCCGGGTTCCACTGCGGCTCCGCTGCTCGTCTTTCGCGGCTTGAAACGTCATCATTACCATAGTGACTGCGGCTCGAGCTGGAGCAGCGAGGCCGCGGCTCACTGCGAGCTTTTGCTACGATTCTTGACCAAAAACTGCGAGCCGTGGTCGCGGCTCGACCTGTTTCCCGTACTTTGCATTGTTTCGTACGCCAGAATTTTAAAATTCAAAATTTAATTCGTTGCGCAGGCCAGAACACGAGGATTTTTTTGATTTTGCGCGCGCGCGCAGGCAGGTGAAACGTCATCAAAAAGTGTGGACCACGACCGCGGTACCGCCAATGGCGAGTGTCAGTGGAACCGCGCTGCTCCGCTGCATGCAGCCAAGTGCCGCGAAGCAGCGGAGCCGCGGAGCCGCAGTGGAACCCGACCCTTAGCCACACTGGAGTATAAGCCACACTGGAGTATAAGCCACACTGGAGTATAAGCCACACTGGAGTATAAGCCACACTGGAGTATAAGCCACACTGGAGTATAAGCCACACTGGAGTATAAGCCACACTGGAGTATAAGCCACACTGGAGTATAAGCCACACTGGAGTATAAGCCACACTGGAGTATAAGCCACACTGGAGTATAAGCCACACTGGAGTATAAGCCACACTGGAGTATAAGCCACACTGGAGTATAAGCCACACTGGAGTATAAGCCACACTGGAGTATAAGCCACACTGGAGTATAAGCCACACTGGAGTATAAGCCACACTGGAGTATAAGCCACACTGGAGTATAAGCTACACTGGAGTATAAGCCGCACCACCGTTTTCGTCACGAAGTACAAGTGTAGTATCCCTGCCTGGCTAGTACGGAACTTTACCTGACGTATATTTAGTGTATCCCCGTACGTTATGGTACGCGGTCTGTTGCATAAAAGTTGCTTGCCCTTTCTGTTTTCATGATTTTTATAACAACAACAAAGCCGAACAGAAGAGCTGCTCAACCTCCAGGTGTGTACCGGAGAAAGTTCTTTTTACTGCCGCTTCTTTTATATACATAATAATCCAGGTATGTACCTGAAGTTCGATTAAAAGTTAATTTGTGCACCGTGCCTCCACTCGGCTACCACTACACAAGCATCTGCCCCAGTTCCTATAAAGCATGGTCACGTTCAAGTCGGTGGATCCATTAGGTCCACCCACAGGTTCTCTGCTGCCGGATAGATTCAAGTAAGGGGATAACGGATAATGATTAGACGATGTTGAGTTAAATTCACGATAAAAGAATAGCACCCCATTTAACACCGTTACTCTGGCCATCGTAATATACGCAGCACCGACACATTACGGGTGAATTACTGGCGTTTAAGAGTGCGGCTTATTCTCCGGAACATACTATACATAATTATCATGATACCTGCAGAAATCCCAGCGCCTTTGAAGCCAAGCAGTGATAGGCCAGACGGCACGCCGACGTAAATCACCAAGCTACCACCGGCCGCTACAGCAGCCACGGCAACCAGCGCTGTGGTCCTCGACGACATCACGGGCAATCTACGCACACACACACACACACACACACACACACACACACACACACACACACATGTGCACACATGCATGCACATACATGTACGCGCACACACATGCATGCACACGTGCGCATACACACACACACACACATCAGAAATACATCGGGTTTCTGGGAGTTTCACGTTTGCCTTTGCTTCTATAAGAACGAAGTGACGCTTTCACGGTGACATTTTCCACACAAATCCCCATCTAGTTGGTCACGCTCACTCAATTTCTCGGGACGAGAGCGAGTTTGTTTGGGAATATAATTGTGACGAAGGGAGCGTATTAGACTCCTCGGAACAAGACCATTCGACTCAGTACCCTGAAGTAGTGACTTTTGAATTTAGACGACTAGCAAGAGTACATAACCAAGAGTGTGCAACTCAACGATACCCCAGCCCACGGCGGAACGTTTTGTAAGACATCAGTCTTTGACGGCTGTTTGGCTCACTGATGCCATCATGCGTAGCCAGAGATCAAAGTACAAATAATTGGTACATCACAGCTACGGTAGTCGAAGCAGAACAACGGACGATAGATCGATTTGTCCTGAAACCGATGAACTCTCACCGTATCTACCAAACACGCGCAGAAAGCATACGCACTTGATCATACTTCAGCCAAAGAATGACGCAATAAAAAAATTCCGCCGTGGGTGAACCCATCGCAGCTCGAGATAGGAGTTGCACACTCTTGGTTATGTACTCTTGCTACTAGTAATATATAGGAAAGGTTGTCGCTCCCCACACTGAAGCTGGCGCTTTTCCCGCCGACTTGACTTGCCACTTGACTGGCTCACGACTGCCATCCAGAGCACACGGGAAGTCCATCGAACCTTCCACTTGGCAACCCTGCAAGAAAGCACCTCTCTCTGCTCAATACGCAGACTGGCAGTGTAGTGGCTACACACCTTTGGCCAGAACCCTGCCGTGGAACGTAGCGAGTACTCATCTTCCTGTGCTTCCTCCCCCCCCCCCCCCCTCCTCCCCCGATGTACCTTCCCAACCTGAGCCGTCCAAGTTGGAAGGTGCTCTAATTTCAGAAATGCCAGGTGCTCTATATTCTCTATATTTTCGGTATGAGGGTAACAGGCCAGGTTAGGTGAACAGAAATGTTAGGTACAGAGAAGCAGTTCCCTATTGGATTATGTGTGTTAGTGTTTGTTCGGTGTATTGAAATTTTAGGCATGAAACAGACGCACCGAAAGTACCGAATACAAAAGTACACGTAGAAATTGTGAAGTAATGACAGTAGTTGGCGTGCGCATGCCAACAATTACATATCAATGTTGGAGCTAGGTGTCAGGGTGTTGAATGTCTTCGTACTCCTTGTCAGTTGTGTGCGTGCTGGAGCATTAGGTGTATCCGTGATTGTATAATGATCTCATTACACCCGCTAGCAAGAGTCCATAAACAAGAGTATGCAACTGTGATCTCTTTTCTATGGGCCAGATGCGCGGCGCGCTGCCTTCATTGCATCATTCAGCTGCAGTCCGCGCACTGCGGAAAATCAAAAACCGCGCTTTCCCTCCAGTTTGAAATGAACTTTCGTACGGAACTGGAGTTCACGCGCCAGAATTCAGAGATTGTGTAGGTACTGGAACGAATCGAGCAAAAACGGATGGGCTCGTGCGAGAAATTGAGAGTTTGAATGCATGCTTTCAGCGCGTGATGAAGACAAGTTACGTAATGAAGGCAGCGCGCCGCGCACTGACCCATAACCACAGTTGCATACTCTTGTGTATGCACTCTTGCCGCAAGTCATAACTCGTAAGACTGTGTCCCTCCTCTTGGGGTGCGTTTGGTTGGTAAAATCTAGAACAGGATCGAACAGCTGATGCACAAGGAGCAGCCTCATGCCAACCAAACGTACTCGAGAATCAGAGGACATTTTGTGAAAAAAAACGTGCCAAACTTTGGTGCATTCTTGAACATGCGTACGGGTGACCATGGTCACTTTGTACGGTACAACGAATCCAACCCAAAAGCGTATGCACGTGATCATCTGGGACCAAAATCGATGTTCCCGTCAGGTTTCACTGTGAAAAAGTGAAACTGCTCGGTCTGCTCTGGCCTCAAGGCCGGAGCAAGCAGAATATGTTCTGGCCGACCCAGAACAGGTGCAGTCCCAACCAAACGAACTGTTCTGGTGAATCCTGTTCTAGGTCGTACCAACCAAACGTGCCCTTACATAGGCATGAATATTGCCTTGCCGTCCGAATTCAAATAATTAAAAAATAATAATTTTAGACAAAAAAGGAAGGACGAAGTGAGTTATGAGTACCGAAAAGTACCGCCAGAGCGCCTCGTCTCGATCTCGCGAGAGCACTCCAGCTTGATTTTACAGCCAGGGAAACGAAAGTCGTTTGGCAGAGTACAACGAAATGTGTACCGTGGTGTGAGAACCTTAGTATACTTAGGTCACACTTACACTAGTCAGGTTTCGTGTGGAGCTCGTGTCCGCTCGAAGATAAATTGAGTACGGATTGACTCCGCAACGTGCAATGTGTGTACACGGTTTGTGTCGTATGACCTACAGACAGGACACCACCTCCACAATACGACCGCGAAAGGACGAGATGGCGCGGCGCTCTGGCGGTACTTTACGGCAATGACTAACTACGGTAGTCAGCACTGCCTCCTAGCCTAGACCAGGGCCATCGGAAAGTATTTTAGTGTGGTACGGTCAGCCATGTGAAGCACAATTTACTCGAGGAGGAGGGGTGCTGAGTCGAAAATTTTGGAAATTTTGGGAATTTACAGCCCAGATCAGTGTATTTTATCGATTCACGGGACGGGGTACATGGTCATGTGGCAAGAAGTGGTACGGTCAATACGGTGGTGACCGTACCGTGTCCGACGCCTCTGTAGACCGTTCTTATTTTCATGTATTACAGTCCATGCGCTGTTCAGTTACCGTGCATACATTCAGATTGATACCGGTATTATCAAGAGTACATGAAAACCAGAGTGTGCAGCTCGGATGGGTTGCTGTCACGGCGGAATTCCGTGATTACATCATTTTAGTGATGTAGTGCGTACAAGCAGGATTCAAGCAGGTCTCTTTCTGCACAACTGCAGCTCAGTTGTACGCACTACACCATTTCCCAGATCTGCGCCAAATATGATGTAATCACGGAATTCCGCCGTGACAGACACCCATAGTAGAAAAGGCCCCAAGCTGCACACTCTGGTTTTCATGAACTCTTGGTATTATGCTGTGTTTGGTGAAATTCTAGCAATCTAGGCTGATTGGGTAAACCTGGTGCTGGTATGGTTGTTCTTCAACTACTGTATGATTGTGTAGTCCGAGTTCAAATTAAAAAATTAATTATGGTAAAATATTTCGCTATGGCGAGCAGTTTTGAATTTCAAGTGCTCGAAGCTCGAAGTAGCAAGTAACATTAGTTACCTTGTGCTGTCTTCGTCTCCGCTTGAATCGGCTTCGCGTTCGGCGAGAGCGAGCTGCGGAGGATCACTCGGTGCCATGGCGAGCAGCAGTGCAAATCCGTAATCGGTGTCTGGCAGTCGGTCTTAGCAAACGCAGCTTACGCGGAGACACTGGTCGATCTACCCGCTCTCCGGCACACTCGAACAGTTTGAAACACCATGGACTTGGTACGTGTACATGATTGTAGCCATTGCTAGTATTAGCCTTGCTTGTGCCGCTGCCCGTGCGGCCAGTTGTTGCTGATAAAGTGATAATTATTACTAGTAACAAGGTAACTGGTTGTTCGCACCAGTATTCGAAACTAAAAAAAACGTACTAAACCTGACAGTGGTTCGCACTTGCGCGTTGCGGCTGTTCGAGTCATACAGTAAGTAACAAGGCAGAACAACAGAGACCAAACATCATAACTCAGAGTTTCGTGTTCATAAACACTCATCATCAGACAGTCATTATGGATCGGGAGTAGTACAATAGTCAATACCATGGTATTGTACGAGTACTACCCGGGCTTTTACGACTCCCTGGTTATGACACAATCATGTACTGTAGAGTGTAGGCAGGCAAAGACTCTCACTGTGTGGTGGTTATGTGCTTTTTCAAGTAAATAAGAAAATAAAAAATGTCATGTCATGTCATGTCAAGTCTCATAGTCATAATAATTACCGTATTTTCCCCATTAAACGTACACGTCTCCATTACTAGTACGTCCCCAATTGTAGTACATGTTGGGTGTGGATCGAAAATATAAAAGGACACGTCTCCAATAATAGTACACGCCGGAATGATGTGATCGGCATTAGTGGGGTACAGATACCAGAGTCCACCTTACTTCGTTTTTCTTACCCGTTCATCATCTTTGTGTCTTTGTACACTGATTCTTACCATGGTTGGGTGTATTTACAGCCCGCTTACAGCATCATTATCACGAGTTGTTTGCCACCCAACCCAGGCAATCGATCTTTCCAGAAACAATAAAAGTACACGTCTCCAATACTAGTACAGTCTCCTATAGTAGTACAGGTCTGACCACCTTTGAAAAAATAAAAGTACTGTACATTTATTGGGGAAAATACGGTATTATCAAGACTGCCCAGACTGTTGTTACCCCCCCCCCCCCCACGTATGTCAGTCAGTGCCAGGCCATGGTGCAAAACACCCGCACTGCAGTCCATTTCAAAACTGTAGACGCGCAGTGTTTTTGAATTATTTCAAATTTGGCTGGAACTTTTTGAGAATAGTTTTCAGAATATTGCTCAGGTCCGCTCCACAATTACTCTCATATAATTATTATAATTGTAGTTTCTAAACGATTGGATAACAGACGCCCAATTAATAATTTATGCACAAAGTAATCACAGATTTTATGTGGTATAGATGCTGGCATAACGGTTTTTGCCTAGGTACGCGTCTATCTCTTAATTTGCTGGCCCAAAATCCTATATATAGGATTTGAAAATGTGTGCCTTTTATGCCGTTGTTATTGGTCATCACGACCAGTAATAACGGCATAATGGTTTTCATGGAAGTTGTAAATATGTTTGAGGCATGAATGTTTACATTTTAGATTCATAGGGCGATAATATTTCTGATGAATACCCATTTTCAGCAAAAATTGGAAATTTGAGCATATTTGTTCAGCTGCTGTCATGGAAAGGACTGAAGCAGTGAATGTGCAGAAGAACATTGCAGGTGTGGTTTCATGACGACATATCGCACATGCCGTCATGAAACTACCAGTTTTAAGGATAAAACAAGGTCCAATAAAATCTCAAATCCTACATGTATATACTGTAAAAGCAGAAATTTTCAGTGGTGTAATATTTTCGGTATTCTCCAAAATCGGCGGTTCGGCGGAGGGAAATTTTCGGTAAACCCGCGTTCAAGGTAAGTGTACTAGTACTTTACCGACATTTTCGGTGCGTTTTATTTTCGGTGAAAATTTCGGCACCGAAGTTACCGAAAATAAAACACCACCGAAAATTTCTGCTTTTACAGTATAGGATTCGAAAAATAGGGCACAGGCCTTAGTAATATTGGGCAAGGAGATGAGCCTGAGATGTTAGTGTTTGAAAAAATTATCTTATTCAACTCTCGATATCTACTAAGACCTAGCAAGGAAGAATTGGTCACATACTTTTCTCTATGCTCGTGCCACACCCATTTTGAGTTGAAAAATATGACCAAAATCCTATATATAGGATTTAGCAAATTAAGAGATAGTTTTGAAATGGACTGTAGGACGGTAGGTGTAGATCTGTAGTATGAAGTCCGCTGACGTCGAGTGCGGTGATGAGTCCACAAAGAGGTTAAAGCCGATCGAAGGACGACACAGTCTGTTCGCAATGCAGAGGAGACGATTGAAAGTGGGATAGGTTTAAAATGTGTACATGAACAACACAAATCATGTAGACCCAAACCGATCACCAGTGGGGATTGTTCACTCAGAATAATAATATTATTCTGTTTGTGGAAGGATCTAGCATGTTGAAGTTTTTTTTTAAATTTCGGCCAGTCGGCTACTATCATCAATTTTGATTTCGTCTTGGGGGGTTAGACAAGGGGAAGTGGCCATGTCGGGGCGTGAGCCCGCCTTTCGGCATGTTGAAGTTTGCTCAAAGGCCAGAGTCGATCGAACTGAGCCACTCCTTTGTGTTGGTCCGTTGCCTCCATGTAACTACTAGTAGTCTTGAAGTTTGAACTCGGATGGTGAGCCAATAATATTTATTATAGTTAGGATGAAGAAAGGAAAAGGACAAAATTTTGTCGCACTTGCTGACTGTATAAGATCTGGTTACGTTGGTGGACAGTTTCTCGTAACATTTTGTCCTTTTCCTTTCTTCATCCTAACTAGTCTTGAAGTTGTCCAATTTTTCATTTCAAATTTTGGTGTCATACAGGTTGCTCAAAACAGGGACAGTTTTGGAGTCCACTTCAAGTTCGCCTTGACTTGAGTTCTTTTAATGTGCATTTCCATTAGTAGGGACCGGATTTTCCCGACAAATGCCCCACACATTTGAGATCAGAGAGATATGTCAAACTGGCCTCTCCATGCCCAATTCCTTCAGGATATCCCTGTCAAGTTGTTCTCTTTTCAATCCATTTCACTCTCACTAACCGCCGATAGCACCACATTTCAAACACCTGCACGCTGTCCTCCTCTTCTTTGCCAGTGCCCATGCCTCGGAGCCGTAACCGGAGGTCACTACAGTGGTATGCGGTGCTTTATTGGCGAGGAGCGAGCCGCTGTTTACCTGTTTGATTGATTTTATTTGGAGACCAAACGAGCAGGAGTGCTCAATAACAGGGTAGCGTCGGAATGCTATGTTACAATGTAGTGTGTGCGTGGGGTACCGGGTGGTGGTGTGTCTGTGTGTGTGGGGGGGGGGGGGGGGGTGGTGAATGAAGAAGCAATTGCGTGGGAAAAACCACGGGACATTAGTGGTGGAGCTACCAGTGATCTCCACCTTCGTGCAAAGATTGATGTTTCCTTGTGTCTTCTGTTCATCTCGGTATCTCCAGCTTTTGACTAGTTATTGAGGAGTAGATAACGGTGTGTTGGACGCTATAATTATCTGTTTGATGGCCAGGCCTGGTGATGTTGTCCTAATTATTTGGTCACTCTATCTTATGCCGCCATTCAGTGCGTAAATGCTGGTGCTGGCTAGACTGTGAAGTATGGGGAATGAAAATGTGCCTTTCTCAAGATTCTCGTATAGAATTCATTCCCTTTGACCAAAAGCTTGTGTTTCCGGATCCTGTTTGTACACAATTTCTCCGTTCTTCCTTGTGACCTTGGAGTTGTGGTTCGCCTCCGACTCAGCGGCGGATCCAACGATCTCTGCAGGGGGGGGGGGGGGGGGGCAGTATATTCAAAACTGAATAGCTGATATATGTACATGGACTCAAATATGGTTGCCAGTAGTACATTTACGAAATTTAGGGGGTTCCGCGGAACCCCCTCCTGGATTCGCCCCTGCGACTATCCCTAACCATCTCATCGATACATGCATGGTGCGTCTACGTCTGTCCATGACGTGGCTGGCTGGGCATCGGAGTTGGGTACTGCCCTGTCATCCACTGGCATAGTGTTGAACCAAGAGTAAGGGGGGGGGGGGGGGTTATGTACACTTGGTTGAACCTAACGGACTTGTATGTCACACCTACTAGCTGGAAGTTGTTTTAAAAAGGGTTTAGTTTGAGTCTTTCACCATTCCTATTTCCTTTACTCGGCTTTAGGACACTTTCTTCACCATACACTGTGTTTCTTTGGCTGTAAAAGCGGCAGTCGGCACTTGTATTGAGTTTCCTGATCGTCATGGAGCTGGAAAAGAAAGCACACAAATAGCACTTCCTGCCCGGGTCTCGGCTATAACAGTATAAGCACTTTTAGCTGCTACCATGTGGTTGACTGAAAGCAGGGCTAGGGTGTGCCAGATTTATTGATTAAGAATGCATGCTGCAGCTGGGCTGTTTTGTTCGTTTTCTTGTGTACAGTGAAGGAATCGAAATTGCATGTAACGTGCAATGTGTCTGCAAGTGAAATAAGTCCCTCCGGAATACCTAGTACCTGTGTTGTGCGCGTTCTGTCGATCTGGAAAATCGGTCGATTTTCGTGCGCGATCTGTCGATCGACAGATCGCGCAAGGCCTCAAGGATCGATCGATCGCGCAAGATCCACTGCCAGGACCGGATTCCACTGCACGTCGTCAAGTGACGACGGGCAGGAACGGATTCGGATTCCACTGCCCGGCGTCACTTGACGACGGGCAGGAACGGATTCCCGTCGTCACTTGACGACGGGCAGTAGCCACTGGACTGACTCTCTACTTCATGGTCTTTCATTGGTTACTAATAAAATAACTACAAAAGTCTAAAGCAGAAGAGCGACTGTTTGCAACCACAACTGTCATCATGGCGCTCCAACATTTGATCTGGAATTGGGAGAAAAGAAGCCCCTTTGTTGAACGATATTGGTGATGTGAATGAGCTCCTCCGAAAAGTGGAGGAAGAGACTGAAACTTTTATTGTGGAGTCGCTCGCGAAGGAGATCTTGGACGAGCCGGATTAGCCTCAACCAAAGCGCGCAATGCTCAGCAACCTGCAGGACCTGCGCAATTTGCCGAGGTTTCCGATCAAGATGTGGGAAAATCCGTAGGAAGAGAACAGCCAGAATGCCCGATGCCCAGTCGACAATGAAACCTCTCTATTAAATATAATGTCAATGGCACCGCGAGAAAAAAAGCACTATGGACTACTACCATGACTACCTCTACCAGAAAACAATCACAAAACACAATGCAGGTGTGTCTGTCATGATCTCTTTATTTGGCTTGGGTGCACACGGGAAACACGTTCCAGATCCATGTCACCAAGAGTTCATAACCCCCAGGGGGTTATGAACTCTTGATGTCACTCATACTC